GAATTTTTTGCTAGTTAAATGGAGATAAGAGTCACAAGGCAATGGATGAGCAAATGCTGCAAGATTCTCACTGCACACTATGTTGAAAATGAACTATAGAGCTGTGAGTGGGGATGGGAGGGAAAAACTAGGACAGAGAGAGAGAAGGGATGACATTGACCAAAAAGGAATACTTTTTACCTGAGTTGTGTAACTGTAAACACTCTACGTATCACCTCGATAATACAGTAAACATTTTTAAAGTCAAATCATTAATCTCAGTTTTAAAAAGAATTTAAGAAAGAAAGTCTCAGATGGTGGTGCTTCCTGTTACCTGTCTGTTCTCTGTGCCTAAGGAGGCTGTGCCCACCTGACAGCCCTGCACCTCTCTGGTCTGCTTACTGGGTAGAGAGCCAACTCCATACACCTATGATGCTAATGCAGGACCAAGCCACCTGGGCCAGGACCAGTGATTTCTTTTAGTAACAAAGTTCCTGGAAGATTCATCCACACCAAAACACCAGTGAGGACACTGGCCTGACCTTCCTGTCCAGCAATCCCATCTTATTCTCTCCTCACTCAACATGCCTGTTAACCTTACCACAACGAGAGTTTTCTTGGGGACTGCAAGACACCTGGGCTCCCAGAGTCAAAAGTACTTTCATCTTCCGGACTTAGGAGGGCTAATGAACTATAAACCACCTCGTGCTAGCTTCATTTTCAGAAGCAGGTCAGCCACAGTTTTCATAAAAGTTTATAGTAATGCAATGGCATTTTCTGTTTCTGATACAGTTGTAAACGATTTTCTACACTCACGAATGTATCCTGCTACTCCTGGGTTCCAGGTCTGCATAGAAAGAATCACGAGCATCCTGAACAGGGCGGTAGGGCCATGTCCGCGTCTGAGTGTCCTCCACTGTCCATCACTCCAGTCCTCCGCTTGGTGCTAATGCCTCCTTGCTGCTCTCTTCTCTTGTGTGTTTCAAGTAGCCAGAGCACACCAAAAATAAGCTTCAACCTGTAAACCCCACCCCAACCCTCCAGCACACTGCTCTGTGCCCTGGAGCCTGCTGAGCCTCCAACCCAGATGCTCCTAGGGACACTATCGCCACTTGGTGCCGCGAGTGCCTCTGCTGGTGTCCACGAGGAAGTGCAGACCAGACATAAACCCCGCACATTTGCCAGGCTGAGCCTGGCCAGAAGACCTTAGAGACTCAACTGTGCTCACACACTGGGTCCAGTCCATACCTCCTCTTCAACAGTTCAATATGCTTCGGACTAAGGAAGTGAGTTATGAGCTGAGTGATATTTGCATACAGTACAAAATATTGAGCACTCCCTTTAAACTTGCATATTCATTTAAAATGAGAGGTTAGGACAGAATAAACTACTGTGGCTTTAAGGAAATAATTACATAGAACAAAAGCGTGTCTAGGGTTAGCACTTTACTATGTCGATTCCAGCTGGGAATGAGAGTTCTACACTAAATGACTAAAAAACTATGAATTTCTGGGCACCACTAGCTCATGTCTGTAATCCTACCTACTCAAAAGCAGAGATCTTATGATCACAGATTGAAGCCAGCCTAGGCAGCAAAGCATGTAAGAATTTTATCTCCAATTTATCACACAGATACCTCTCTCCAAGAGTGGAGCTGTGCAGAGCACTACCCTTGAGCACAAAAACACAAAGGACAGCACCCAGAACCTGACTTCAAGTCCTAGATTTGGCACAGAATAATGAATTGAAAATAAACCTAATTTGAATATGGCAGAGGACATCAACTGGAATTTTTCCACAGCAGATATACAGCCCCATGAAACATCACTAGTATTTAGGAAAAGGCCAAACCACAGGGTCTCACCACTTTACATCCACTATGATAGCTGTTATAAAGCAAGCAGAAACAAGTGGAGCTGTGGCTCAAGTGTTACACTGTTAGCCTTCAGCAAAAAGCTCAGGAAGAGGCTTCTGCCCTGGGTTCAATCCCAAGATCAGCACACATGAAAAACCACACAAAAGAGAAAGTTGAGGTTGGTAGTAACTGGAAGAACATGGAGCCCTAGTTCCTTGCTACTTTTTTATTTAGGTTGTTTTGTTTGGCAATAGTATGATTTGAACTCAGGACCACATTGGGCAGATTTAGGGTCCCATTATTTTTATGGCTCTTTAGTTATTTTTCAGATCTTTTTCAGTTATCATTGTGATAGTTTTCCTCAGAGAGGCTTTGGATTCCAGTCCTCTACTTCTGTCTCCTGCTTAGATGGGAGTACAGATGAGAGACCGAGTCATCATAGGCCATTATTCCATTTCAGCAGGAAGCATCTAGACATTGACAATAACTCTTTTTAAAGAAGTTGCTGGGTACAATCACGAGTGAGGAAAATGTAATAGGACCTGACATCTGAATATGTTTACATGTGAGGATTTAGTTCATGACTAGACCAAGATGCCTCCAATTACTTGAATTTTTCAAAGGCAGCATTTTTCTCTTCTTTCTCACTCTCCTATCGCCCCACCCACACACCTAATTGCCATTCCCTAGAAGAGGAAATTCGGGATGATTCTCATACCTTGAGTCAAGGTCACCACACTCCTCTCCTTATCTTGCTTTCCAAGGTATTGAAGGAACATTTAGGATGATGACTACATCTCTGGAGACTGCTGGTTAACACATTTGGAAATAATCAGGCCCAAGAACACCATTTGGCTGGACCTTCATTCCTCAGCGCTTAAATCCATCAGGAAGTCCATGCTCCTGGGTGTGTCCATAAAAACCTCTTTTTTCCCCTACCCACAAGTTCTGCTCTTCTTTCCCAGACAATAGCTCAAGTAGGTCTCATTTTGCCTGCAAATTAATATACCTTTATTTCCTTTACACTAAGACATTAATCTCACTGACATTGAATTGACATTGAATTCAGGGAACTGAATTTTCAGTAACACAGGAGAGTTGGGAGCTGCAGACTACAAAGCAAAGTGAAAAACACAAATTGCAGAGGAAACTCTAAATTTTCAAAACTGATAACGATATAGACTATAAGCAGTGATCTCCAAAGAAACAGGTAATATCTGAGTCAAGGGGAAAGGCACAGGAAATGGATGGAAGAATGCCTCTGACAGGTTGAGCAGGTGAATTTGGAGGTAGGAATCTAGAGGGCCCAAGAATGAAGGACTTGCTGAGCTAGTGGCAGTGGTAGGGCTTTGTGACACATCACTCTTTCCCCTTTGTGACTTAGTAGAAAACCAGGCCTTTGTGATGTAGGCCTTCATTTACTATATATTGCCGAAGAAACTCCCAGAGCTCAGTTGCTCAAGAGCAATAGTGCGATTCAGATGATGGAGAATCCTCTCTTGTCACTGAAAAGCGTTGCTATTCCATGGCTGAGCCCTGAACTCGCCACCTTTGCAATGGATATGATCCTTGCCATTGTGGGTGGGGTGGGGCTCTACCTCCTGCTACTGCTACTTCCCTGCTTCAAGGAAAATCCATCCTCACCAACACCTGAGAGAAAGAACAAACTGACTAAGGTAAGATCTCTAAGGGCAGACCACCCAAAAATAGGTAGGTAGGTAGGTACGTAGATAGATAGATAGATATAGATAGATAGATAGATAGATAGATAGATAGATAGATAGATAGATAGATAGATAGAGACACACACACACATTGGAATTTTACTTATCAGTTAGACTGATACTGTAGCATTTGTATAGGAATAGAAGACTTGGGAAAATTAAGTGAATTAAGTCAGTCCCAGAGAGACAAAGGATCCATGTTTTCCTTGATATGTGGAAGGTAGATTTAGTGTATATACTCAACAAATACGGAGGATGTTACACATGTGTACACAAATGTATTGAATGAGATATGGTAGAGTCAAAGGAGATTTTAAAGTGGAATTTATTAGAAAGCCAAAAGTCCAAGTTCAGTAAAATAGAAAAATCAGAAATGTGTTGTTGATAGGGTTTTAGGGGTCAAAGGGAAAGGGGGGTACTCAATGGAGAAGAGGGGGATATGTAGACAAGAATCCAATATATAATCTATCACAGTAAGAAAGAAAGGGCTGAGCGGGGGGTGGGGGGGAGGGACACACTGCAGAAAGAATTAACAGTTATACCAATTTGTGAAATAGCAACTCCCATGTACAACTGCTTGATAATTTTTTAAATGGTTCTTTAGTTTACTGATGTTTGCACTTCTCAAAAACAAGTAACAAAGCCTCTAGAGGGGAAATTCCAGAAAAAAGAGACATCTTCTCCTAGGAACTATCAGCATACAGGGCACAATGTCAGTAGCATAAGGTAGTATTCTGAGTTCTCAGAACAGCTGTGTGGAGTGCAGCAAGTACCAGGGTTAATTCAAACCCTGAAACTCAGCAACCAAGGACTGAGGTCCTGAGAGCTGAGGACTTGAACACTCAATCCTATGTCACAGCAGGTGCCTGAAAACTGCACTTTCCCCAGTGTTAGGCTGATTAGCCGACTGTTCAAGGCCCATGTCAACCTCCCATCAGAGGATAAGGTCACCTTTGGACTCAGGAAGGAAAAGCCAACGTGGAAGCTGAGAGGCACCTGGAAATCAGGTTCTTGGTCCTTAGAACAGAAAAAGCACTGAGGTGATCTTTGTTGTCTATCTCATATAAGAAAAACAGAAATGAGCTGGGAAGGTGGCTCAGTGATAGAGCACTTGCCTTGCATAGGTGAGGCCCTGGGTTCGATTCCTTACACCACATAAGCAAAAAGCAAACTGCCAGAAGTGGTGCTGTGGCTCAAGTGGTAGAGTGCTAGCCGTGAGCTGAAGAGTGCCCAGGCCCAGAGTTCAGGCCCCATGAACCAGACCCTGCCCCCAAAAAAGAAAGAAAAACAGAAATAATTAGCAGCCACACTAACTGTGAAGAAAGGAAATGCAGGGACATAGGTGAAGACATCATTTTATCCAGAAACACCAAATATCTTAAACTTGTCTAGGGAAAGGAAAAGAGTAAAGAGGTCTAAGTCACGTTTTTCTCATCTCTCAGTATCCTGTGGAGAAACGAGGCCAGATCAAGTGCAGGAAGAAACGTGCTGCTCTGAAAGGTAGGCTCCCCACGTTCTCCCAAGGGGATTTGATCTCGGTCTCTGTCAGCAAGAGCCAGGCCACCAAGTATTTCAGTGTGTAAAACCTTAGGAGGAGAGTCCTGGGAAAGAAACCAGAACTGGAGACATTTTTCAGGTTCTCTGCATGGAATGAAGCTGCGACATGCATCATAACAAATGGGAGGGGCTGAGAGGCTGTGAGGTCACACTGATGATGTGGATGTGTGTCACACAGGAGGAGGGGCTGAGAGGCTGTGAGGTCACACTGATGATGTGGAGGTGTGTCACACAGGTCAGGGCTGAGAGGCTGTGAGGTCACACTGATGATGTGGAGGTGTGTCACAGAGGAGGAGGGGCTGAGAGGCTGTGAGGTCACAGTGATGATGTGGAGGTGTGTCACACAGGGGGAGGGGCTGAGAGGCTGTGAGGTCACACTGATGATGTGGAGGTGTGTCACACAGGGGGAGGGGCTGAGAGGCTGAGAGGTCACACTGATGATGTGGATGTGTGTCACACAGGAGGAGGGGCTAAGAGGCTGTGAGGTCACACTGATGATGTGGAGGTGTGTCACACAGGAGGAGGGGCTGAGAGGCTGTGAGGTCACACTGATGATGTGGATGTGTGTCACACAGGAGGAGGGGCTAAGAGGCTGTGAGGTCACACTGATGATGTGGAGGTGTGTCACACAGGGCAGGGCTGAGAGGCTGTGAGGTCACACTGATGATGTGGAGGTGTGTCACACAGGGGGAGGGGCTGAGAGGCTGTGAGGTCACACTGATGATGTGCAGGTGTGTCACACAGGGGGAGGGGCTGAGAGGCTGTGAGGTCACACTGATGATGTGGATGTGTGTCACACAGGAGGAGGGGCTGAGAGGCTGTGAGGTCACACTGATGATGTGGAGGTGTGTCACACAGGGGGAGGGGCTGAGAGGCTGTGAGGTCACACTGATGATGTGGATGTGTGTCACACAGGGGGAGGGGCTGAGAGGCTGTGAGGTCACACTGATGATGTGGATGTGTGTCACACAGGAGGAGGGGCTGAGAGGCTGTGAGGTCACACTGATGATGTGGAGGTGTGTCACACAGGGCGGGGCTGAGAGGCTGTGAGGTCACACTGATGATGTGGAGGTGTGTCACACAGGGGGAGGGGCTGAGAGGCTGTGAGGTCACACTGATGATGTGGAGGTGTGTCACACAGGGGGAGGGGCTGAGAGGCTGTGAGGTCACACTGATGATGTGGAGGTGTGTCACACAGGGCGGGGCTGAGAGGCTGTGAGGTCACACTGATGATGTGGAGGTGTGTCACACAGGAGGAGGGGCTGAGAGGCTGTGAGGTCACACTGATGATGTGGAGGTGTGTCACACAGGGGGAGGGGCTGAGAGGCTGTGAGGTCACACTGATGATGTGGAGGTGTGTCACACAGGGGGAGGGGCTGAGAGGCTGAGAGGTAACACTGACTTGATGAGGAGCTGGGAACTTCAAGCCCACATGTGGCCCAATTCAATTCCCTAAAAACTGTATTAGCAATGAGATGTCCTTTTTCCGGGTGCCCCAAGAGGTGGTGCAGATGATGGATGTTTGCAGGGCCGGTGGTCCCTTGTAAATAAAGCAGCACTACCCCTCTATATGCCCTCTTAGCACTGGTACACATCTGGCAGCCATGGATATAGATCTGGGATCCAATGTGATCTTCCATGTTCTTTAATAGACAGATGTTTATTTCAGCCTCCTGTAGGTTCCAGAGGCCCTCCCTTATCTGCCCTAACCACCATCTGTTTCTAGTTTGCAGAGAGATTCGGGAAGAGCTTGAGGAGATGCATGACTTAGCTTCCTTTCTGAGTAGGTAAGGTTTTCCACATGTCCCTGTGCCTGCATTTCTACCCCAGAGAATGGAATTGTCTTGGGGTTGAGGAAGACTTCAGGTTGGCCTGGGATGTGGCGGAAGCCACAGGATGTAGAAAAGCAAGGGCTGTGTAAATGACAGGGTGTGGTACTGTGGGTGCCATGGACAGCAGGTAAATACCGTTGTGCATACTGGGACTGTCTGTTGCTGAATGAAGTTTGTCTCCTGTCTCCTACAGCGCCCTAGGGAAACTCGATGACACTGGAAGCTTTCAGCGTTTCTTAAAAGGAGATGCCTTAGGTGAAGTTTTCAACTCAGAATCTGCTACAGCCCTCCCGTCAGCGAGGGACTCTGAGGAGGACACTTTCTCCAGCACTGTGTCCCTGAAGGCTTCCCCATCTCCTTCACCCCAGGGCTTGCAGCCTCTGGCCTCTACCTTGTCACCAGTCCACATGGGTTCCTCAGTTTCTGTTGAGTCACACTCATCCCAGAGTGTGTCTCAGCCTCCGGAGCTGTCGATTGCTCTAGGAGAAGGGTCTTTTCCCTGTTCTCATTTTCCTCCACCTGTGGCCTGCACTCCACCCAGGCACGACTCAAACTCGGGTCTTCCCCCATGTGACATCAGGGAAGTCCCACCAGAAACCACCCCACAGAGCTCTCCAACCAACAGCTCTCGGGTGCCTTCTCCTATCCCAACCCTCAACTCTGATCTCCTGGATTTTCCAGACAGAGTGATTAGTAAGAGGGCAAAGCTGAAATCAGCTTCTCAGGAGAAAGAACACCCTCTGGATTCTCGGGGGAACATGATGAAGTCACTAGGCAGTGCACAAGACACTGCCATCCCTCAGCCCTTCTGGAACACCGAGGGAAAACCACAGCAGCTTCCTGATTCTCAGGAGCTGTTTTTCCCCATGGTCTTGCAGAAATGCTGCCAACTGTTCTGGGGCCTTCCCTTCCTGCACAGCGAGTCTCTGGTGGCTCCTGTCCAAATGTCTGGTCATCCACTAGACTTACCCTTTGTTTTATTCAATAGTTTCTTGCACTTAGTGCCGGTACAAGTCCAAGCTAAAGTACCTCCACCGTACTTTCTACCACAGCCTTTACAGCACCATTTGGTCAAATCACAACCCTTCACTCCAACCGTATCCTGGCCTCAGCCTTCCTCAGTGGCTGAGATCCAGACCTATGCCCATGGCACCTTCTGTACACCAATACAATCCTGTCCTTCACCTCCAGTGAGGTCCTGTACTATCCCACCTGTTGTTCAACAATTAGACCATCATCTCAAGAAGAAACACCTACAATGTCATAGAACTTTACCCTCTGTGGTCAAACAGTCTCACAAAACCTTTAGTCAAGAACAGGGTACCTGGAACCAGAGAGGCTTTAGTGATGATTCCAGTGATTATATTAGCCTAGAGATGAGGAAAAAGCTGGAACATCACCTCCAAGGGAGGATCCTACAGCACCTATGTAAAACAAATCACAAGATCCAGCTGTCACCTAAGAATTTGACAGGAACAGATCAGAAAGACCACAAACATGCATTTTTACAACACTCTACATCTGTAGAGAATTGTTACCGGAATAAAACAACCCCAGAGTGTCCAGTATCCCAAGGATGGAAGAACTCTAGAATGGATCTGCAATTCTCTATGAGGAGAGTAGTGAGAGCTCTAGACAGGGATGCAGAAAGCTCCTCAGGGGATTTTCTAGAGGCCAAAACACAGAAAAAATTAGAAAGCGACATGATGAGACCAAGTAGTGATTCAGGATATTTTCCCCCAACTCATTCAAATAAGAACTATCTAGGAGAAACCCCAATAGCACATCTCATCACTAAATGGGAGCAGATCAGTAGCGACAAGGTCCCTATGCATGTTAGTCATTACCGGGGCAAGACAAATCATGCCTTGCCCGCCCGTGGTAACTCCAACTCTAGCAAGAACACTGGCGGAGAACCACCCTTAAATACCAGGGAAACCTGCAAGAGCTCCTCCCAGGAGGTTTCCCACATTGATGCTGCCACTCAACAGCTGCTAGATGTGCATATCAAGAAGCTTTGGGCAAAGCACCAGTGGGGCTTATGACTAAAAATTCTCATACCGATAAACATCCTTACTCTGAAAAAGGCTCCCCCTTTACCAACTTCACAGGGAGCTTCACACTACATGGCCTGTAGTAACTTCAAGGCCTATCACACAGTGAAAGAGGGTGCATACCAGAGAGAAGCCCTTCCCAAAGAACAAAAGAGCAAAGAAAGAGAAAAAACTGAAGGCCATGCCTTACAACCTTCTCAACCTCCTTCACAACCTGAAACCCCGAGGGGAACACAGGATAATCATAACTGTGGTCCCTTGGAGGTCTCTCCTAGTGGAGAGGAAGGTAGACTGCTTTCTGAGACTCCATCTTGTATCTTACTAGGAAGAAAGTGGCACCATAACATTGTGTCAGGATCAGAAGGAAGCAGTTTAGAAACAACAAATAGCCCAGAAATGGGCATGTCTGCGACAAATGAAAAAGAAAACCTCTGCCACAGTGTGTCCATTAAAGAGGTCTTTGTTGCACCCAATTCTGAGTACACAGAAGGTCTCATGGAAATGGGAGAGTATAAAAAGCCCACTAACCTGGATTTCAATAACTTGAAACTCAGAAATTCAGAACTAGTGAGGACCACTGAAACACTATTACCACCCAGAATTTCAATTTCCAACTATGCATTTGATTCATACTTTAAAGAACACACAGGATCAACCAGTACAAGCAAAAGCACCCCTTTTGATGATATCCTTCAGGACTGCAATGCTGACCCATTCCTGCAAGGTGGTGCCCCCGAGATGCTGATTGCTGACGACATGTTTGCTTCTCAGAGCTCTCTAACTAGCTCAGAGAAACTTTCTGGAAGCAGCACATCCACTTTCTATGAGCGACGCACTCCCTTGCCAAAGGGAGTGCAAATCACGAAGCAGCAAGAACCTAAGACATCTAAACTCCAGCAGCCATGGTACAGCAAAATGTTTCATGGGCATAATGAGACACAGAGCTGTGAGAGGCCCAAAGCTCCAACACAGAAGGCAAAGCCAGCAGGAATGAGGCCCTCACAAGGCTGGAAGCTGAACTCTCCTGCCCAGGTCAGGAAAACAAGAACTGTGAAGAACTCCAGCCTACCTGTGTCAGAGAAAGCACAGCATCCCCCGGAGAGTCAGTTCGGAAACCGAATAATGAAGTTTTTTGTCTATTTTCCCTAGAAAAGTCTACAGTCAGGCAGACACACTGTCAAATTCAAAAATCCAGTCAGCCAATAGCAAGAACCAAGACTTAACAACAAGCAGAATCCAAGACAGTGGAGGGCCTGAAGCCCAGACACTCAAGAACACCATTGGGTGAATCCTAGAAGAAGAAATTCACCTTAGGCCTTCTGCCTCCAACAAAACTTTCCACAAAGAATTTCAAGCCCTCACAGATAGACATTCCCACTCCTACATGGCTCCTCCTTACCAAGAAGGAGTCCAAATGAAGACCAGCAGGGTCTCTTTCCCAAACCAGCCCCACCGGCCATAGCCGTCCTCTCAATGACAGAAGTCTCTCAAACCATAACAACACTGGGACAGACTTGCTTCCCAGAAAGCCTGTGTCTCTACTCAGCCATGCCTGCCAGCATAGGCCAAGGGAGACACATGTCCCAGGGCAGCATACCCATTGCCCAGGGCAATGTCCTCAGGGTGGGTTAGGCAGTCATGCATATTATGCTTAGCATGTACTTCCTTGTGAGGCTCATTTTTGTGAGGACTAACTCCAGTCCATGCAAAGCAAATCTGCTTTTTGTGAATGAGTACAATCTCTGTCTCCCCCTCAAATACATATTGCTTAATACAGTCTTTGTGTGTCATGAGATGTACTGACTTCTCTTTGTGCCTTCGGCTGGTGTAAGGATGGGCAGTCTGTGGTCTTCCTCAAAGAAGCTTCTAGAAGGGATGGGCAAATGACATAATGCTAGTGAAGACTCAGCCTCTATCCCCCCTTTTCCCTATCCTGTTATTTAATCAGTACAAAAACTTCACAAAGCCTTTTGGGGTTGTCAGGATGAGGAAGCCTGGGAAGACAGCTTACTGGGATGTTCCTCAAACTAATGAACTTGGTTCGGTTGGAACATTATCTGTTGTACTTGCAGGCTATTCATCTAGGACAGAATGTTGACTAGCAAAGCCTATGTTTGTCTTATATCTGCCATTAACACTTCTCTGGGAATCTTCACAGAAGCTGTCTCAGCCACTGGAGGATAGGGGTCTGTAGGGAAAGCCATGCTGCCATTCATGTCTAGTGATCCTTGGTGCTGTTGGGTCACTGGTTTATGTTGCATTGAATTCCAGAAAGCATAGAAACAGATCAATCAGCCTGTTCTCCAGAATGTTGGCTGTTGACTAATGGTTTATTGAGACTTTTGGAATTAGATACTAAAGCCTTTTGTTGTTCCTTTTGCTGGAATGTAGAATCCTAATCATGGATGGAGAATAGTGTAGTTGGTTTGAGAGAAAGTATGGGATGTTGGCCTTGTCCTGATCTGAGCCACTTTGGGGGACAAGATTTTGATCTCAGACTCAGGAGTGAGTTGGTTTGCAGGCAGGAGCCCCAGGTGCCCAGCAATGTACCTGCATATTCTTTACAGCTCTATAAGTTGAAAGTTGAACTAGGAATGTGTTACAGGAAACAAGCTTGAGTTGTTTCTTCTATGGACTCAGGCAGTGTACACCAGAAACTGCACAGAGAGCCTAGGCCCACTGCTGGTAGGTACATTTCTGCAACACATGGTTATAACATAAATCCACATACCATTTTGAATTAAGCAGTGACAGTACAATCATCCCTGCTGATCCACCTTATAAAAAAGGGTATGTTGACTAGGGTCCGCTATAAATACAACTTTATAATCCCAGGATCAATAAACAAATGGTATCCAAAAAATCATACCTTCCTTTCTGAAGGTTGGTGACAACACTGAGAATGTGTGGGTTTGTTTTTTTTTTAACATGGACCATCTGATGCTGGGAAGGAATGTGAGAGGATCTGAGCAGAGGATGATCCCCTTCCATCACATGACTCCACATCGACATCAGTCCAAGCTTGTTCTGTTGTGTTATCTCCTTCCAAAAGCTACTATCATTTCAGACAAGCTTTGATATTCAATCAGTTATATCAATATTGAAGAGCCCATGGGCACATTCTACTGGAATCTTGTTACCTTTGTCCTAGTAACATCCATAATATATCTGCAGGAACCTTTGTTTAAATAGAAATAATGCTGGCTTAAAAATAGATCACTGTATGTTGAAAATGAACTTTACAACTTGTAGGTAGGTATGGATGGGAAAAACAATTGTCCAAAGGAAATGTACCCTTTACCTGATATTTGTAACTGTAAACCCTCTGTGCATCACCTTTATAATTAAATAAAATTACATGACATGAAAAAAACCCATCACTTGCCCCTTTTAGGCCTAAAACCATTTGGAAGCCAAAATAAATTCAGAACATGAGCCATGTTTAAGGAAATTTGTGTTTTTCTTTGTTATGATTTTTTTTGCTTCATATCAGACCCATACTGGGTGCTGAAGAAAAGATAGGAACACTATCATGATTTATGATTCTAAAAATATATAAGAAATGTTACTGTCAAGATTTGCATCAAACATAAGTGATTTAAGAGTAAATATCTAATTAATGTTTCAAGGTTTTCATTTATATTAAATTGCCCATGTCATTTCAACAAATGTTATTAATGCATTTACACACAAACACACACACATACACATACACACACACACACACACACACACACACAAATACACACCACTCCACTGTAATCCACGTTTTATATCATTGGCCTTGGTGGTTTGGTTGTTTTCTCCTAGTTTCTACAAATGAGAGAAAACTATGTGATATATGTGTTTGTGGGAATGGCCTATTTCACCAAATATGAAGATCTCCAGGGCTATACAATTTTTAGCAACCTACATCATTTCATTCTTAATGACCAAGTAGTGGATACTTTCCTTATCTGTTTTCAAAATAAGATGGCAAATACATGAACAATTGTTCAACATTTTTAGGCATAAAGGAAATACAAATCAAAACCACAACAAGAATGGTTATCTCAAGAAAACCAATAAGAGCCGGGCACCAGTGGCTCAGGCCTGTAATCCTAGCTACTCATAAGGATGACATCTTAGGCTCATGGTTTGAAGCCAGCAGGGGCAGAAAAGTCCATGAGAGATTTAAAAAGCTAGAAGTGGTACTCTGACTCAAGTGCCAGAAGACTATCCTTCAGCAGTGAATCTCAGGGACAATGCCCAAACCCTGATTTCAAGCCCCAGAGTCAGCACACACACACACACACACACACACACACACACACACACAGGCACGCACGCAGGCACACACGCACGCACACAAGAAATATAACAAATGCGAGTGAGGATGCAGAGGGAACAGAATTCTTATTTACTGTTGGTGGGAAGGTAAACTAATCTATTGAAATTAGTTTGGAGTTTTCTCAAAAACCAAAACCAGACCTCATATATAATCCATCCATACCACTCTAGGAACAGACCTCCCTCCTCAAAGAAAATCAGTCAGCTTACTATGGAGATATCTGTACAACCATGTTGTGAGATGCACAAAGAGAAATAGCCAAATCATCAAACCTCTCCCAAGTTTTACAAAACAATTCCTTGATTAAGAAACAGTGGATTTTCTATCGTGTGCTATTTGGCCATGTGCACATTGAAAATAGAGGTCCTATTTAGTATCTTTAAAGCAAAGCTAAATATTATTTTTTATGTCATCCCTTTCATTGTTCTCCATCATCCCCTCTCAACACCATTTCTTATCTAAATTTTCTAAGTGGTGCACTGAATTTTATGACTGCCTTATCCCCTCCTTGCCTCACTTCATTTGTTTACTTCTTTCATTTTATCCCACTACCCCTACCTTTAGAGTACTTTTTCCTGGTGTTTATTTTGTTTGTCCATGAATTTGTCCTTCTGAGGAATTGTACCCTTAGGGTTCTCCCCTGGACCTAGTAAATATTGGTTTTTAATTGTATACTTTTTTAATTTACTTATTTTCCTAAAGCCTAAACCATAAATTTATGGTAAGGAAGTGGGAAATAAATATGATCCCTTTTCATAAGATAATCCCTAATATACTCAGTTATTAACTGCATGGAAAACATTAGACACATTCCTGATCTACCAACAGATAGTAAACTGATGAGTTGAGCAAAAATATCAATTACTCAGTATTAGGAAGGCTGAGAACTACAGTGTAGAAACTAATGGTTCAATCATATCTGTTTATATTAAATCACATCATTCTGAAATTTCACTCTTGGTAAATTGAAATCAAAGTTGAAACCACAGCAGTGTGTCTAGTGCCTCCAATGTGTACAGGGTGTATGGGATATGCGTGACTTTACAACCCATGGTTTCAGAATGTGAGATGTAGAGAGAGTGGGCTTTCTGTGTGGAAATTAATACTTAGTCAAGCACTTGTGAGGAAGAGCACAGAGACATAAGTCATCTCTGTTACTTCCTAGTTAATTACATACCTCTGGCAAGATCATGTGCTTGTCACCATACCTGCACTCAGTGTTCATGACTGATGTCACCTACAGCTAGGAGGCAGTAGTATCTGAAATCCTTCACAGTTCCTTAAGTAGCAAGACTGTGGAAACAAAAAGACAACCAACAAAAGCAAAATGTAGAATGACTTAGAATGAAACCCTCACAAAATTTACTGTGAATAGATTTTTCTGATTGTTTGGGGGATGGAGATCTCAATGAATTATAGCTTGTACGGAAGGACATTAAGAAAGAAAATAAAGATGAATATCACAGACTGTTCATTTGTCATCAATTTTGCAGTTTTCATCAGCTATACTTTATATGAGAAATATGAATGAACTTTTAATTTATAGCAATTTAATGTTAATGTTGAACATTGAAAGCTTGTTCATGTTTCAAGGTGTGAAAAGTTAAAATTATATTGAATTGGGGTTCTCTTGCAAACAGTGTATCTGACACCAAATCTCAGACATCAAACTGGACCTCTAGAAGAACCTCAGAGACAGATTTCAAAAGTAAATTCTAGGAGCATTTGATTCTGTGTAAAATAACACCAAGCCATTGCTATCTCTAAAATAACCAGATTTTTCTTTTAGACAACTGGAAAAACTGGAAAAACTGACCAA